GTTCTTCTGATTGAGCCATAATTTTTTGGTCTGTTTACACATGTGATGTATGAGTGGTGGAGCCTTAGGTGTTCACCAGGACAGGGCAACCCAGTTGGTGGGTTGTGACACTATGTGGGGGCGGGGTCAGAGAGGGAACAATGGTGCTTGCTGTGCTCTTTCTCGGATTTTGGTCCTCTCTGCCTCTTCTCACAAGCAAATTGGGCCCTTCTAGTGCTGGTTCCTGGGTGGGTGGGCTTGTGTATATTCTAGGACCCTGTGGGTCTCTCCAGCAAACTCTCCTGTGAGGCTGGGAGCCTCTCTCGGCACCTCAACCCTGGCAAGTTTTTCTAATTGGTGCTCTTAGGCTTTATTTCCCATCTCTGGGGTCCTGGGTTGTACGGCCCGTCTCACTGTCCATTTTTTTTGCCTGGTGTATCTGTATGCAAATGTGTGTCCGTGGTCAGCCAGCAGCCTTGCGCACCTCACTGGGTCTGCTCGTTTCCTCCCCTCGCCTGGGTCTGCCAACCACCTCTTTTCCCTGCCACAATCCCTCTTCTCCGGCCACCAACTCCACCCCTCTTACCAGTCTGGGTGAATGGTTTGTTGTTGTCAGACTTCAGTATTTGTTTTGGTCTGTTTTGGTTGTATTTTTGTTTCTAAATCTTTGTTGTCCTTATTTTGGTTGTGCAAGGAGGTACAGTGTTTCCACCTACACCTCCATCTTGGCTGGAAGTTCACAGCTATGGTTTTCAAACCTCATGTGTGCATAGTCCCTGTGCAAAAACAGACAGCTGAGCCCCACTCCTGATCCTGTGGGTCTTGGGACAGGGTGGGGGGATAAGAATTTACATTTCTTACATGTTCAGGTGATGCTGCTGGCCAGAGGACCCCATTCTGAGAGCCACTGTTCTAGAGAAACACTGAGCAGAACTCTCAGGGGTTGGGCATGCAGATGAGGAGGACAGAGGAGTCAGTCACAGCCATAGTGTTGGGCCTAAGTGACCGGGTGAATAGAGATCCCAGACCCTGTGGGAGACATGGGTGGGGGTCCTGGAATGAAGAGCTCTGTTTTGAGAATGTTCAGTTGAAGAGGCCTGTTGGATATTCATAGAGAGAGGAAGTAGGCAGCTGCTTTAAAGGCTGAGGTTGTGCAGAGCAGAGCAGGAGATTTGGTTTGGTGGCTGTTGCCTTGTTGATGGCATATAGAGCCAAGAGACTAGTCAGCTGGGTAAAGATGCAGCCAGAGGGCAGGGGCCGAGGACAGAGTCCTGGGGCAGGCCAGTAGTCATAGAGAGCCCTGAGAAGTAGGAAAAAACAGGAGAGTGTGGTGTCCTCGGAGGGGTGTTCCAAAATGGATGGAGTGGCATTGAGAGGTCAGGTTAGGAAGAACAAGAATCCAATGGTCAAGAGATGTGATTGTTACATTTGTCAATATGGTGGACAGTGGTGATTTCTCATTTACAATGGAGACAGAAGACACGACCACAGAGGTTGAGATTATAGCAATTGGATGATGGCAGGCCATGCATTTTGGTGAGGAGCAGGAGGCTGTGGTCAGGTTGGTGGACATGCAGAATAACCAGAGAATGAGGATCTGAACGTCACAGGGTGGCTTCCAGTAATGAAAGGGTAAAGCAGGGTGTGAGGCAGCTCCCAGTTCCTGTCAGTAATTTCTTGGGGAAAAGTGCACAGTCAGAAAACTGGATGGTTCCAGAACACTTGGCAATTGTTCAATTGTTCTTTGCTGCTCCTCTGTGGTGAAGTGGCTGTGGGGTGAGACCAGGCCCCTCAAGGAGCTCTGTTACTAGAAGGCACAAAGCTCTGAGGGAGTTCTGGTGGTGGGGAGGAGGGATGCAAAGGCCTCCAGCCCAGCCACTCACACACACACACACACACACACACACACACACACACACGCACATACCAGCATGTGTGCCCTTTTTAATTTTATTTTACTTTTTGTTTTATTTATTTTTCTTTTTTATGTATTTTTAAAAGAATAGAAATGGTGCTATACTACAAAAATAGTTTTATACTTTGCTTTTTAAATATATTTTATTGATTATGCCATTACAGTTGTCCCATTTCCCCCCATTTCATTCCCTTCCACCCTGCACACCCTCTACCACCCACATTCCCCCCCTTTAGTTCATGTCCATGTGTCATAAGTTCTTTAGCTTCTACATTTCCCACACTACTCTTGCCCTCCCCCTATTTTCTCCCCACTGTCTGTGCTACTTACTTTCTGTACCTTCCCCCCTTTCTTCTCCTCCCACTCCCCTGTTGCTAACCCTCCCTGTGATCTCCATTTCTGTGACTCTGCTCCTGATCTAGATGTCTGCTTATTTTACTTTTGTTTTAGGCGTGGTTGTTAATAACTGTGAGTTTGCTGTCATTTTACTATAAATGTTTTTTTATCTTCTTTTTCTTAGATAAGTCCCTGTAACATTTCATATAATAAGGGCTCGGTGATGATGAACTCCTTGAACTTGACCTTATCTGAGAAGCACTTTATCTGCCCTTCCATTCTAAATGAAAGCTTTGCTGGAGAGAGCAATCTTGGATGTAGGTCCTTGGATGTAGGCCTCTCATGACTTGGAATACTTCTTTCCAGCCCCTTCTTGCCTGTAGGGTCTCTTTTGAGAAATCAGCTGACAGTCTGATGGGAACTCCTTTGTAGGTGAGTGTCCCCTTATCTCTTGCTGCTTCTAGGATTCTCTCCTTCATTTTAATCTTGGCTAATATAATGATGATGTGCTTTGGTGTGTTCCTCCTTGGGTCCATCTTCTTTGTGACTGTCTGAGCTTCCTGGACTTCCTGGAAGTCTATTTTCTTTGCCAGATTGGGGAAGTTCTCCTTTATGAGCTATTCAAATAAGTTTTCCACTTGTTGCTCTTCCTCTTCACCTTCTGGTGCTCCTATAATTCAGATGTTGGAATGTTTAAAGATGTCCTGGAGGTTCCTAAGCCTCTCCTCATTGAATTCTTGTTTCTTCATTCTTTTGTTTGGTTGTTTCTTTCTTCCTTCTGGTCCATTCCATTGAGTTGAGTCCCAGTTTCCTTTCTATCACTATTGGTTTTCTGTGCATTTTCCTTCATTTTGCTTAGCGTAGCCTTCATTTTTTCATCTCATTTGCGACCAAAATCAACTACTTCTGTGAGCATCCTGATCACCAGTGTTTCGAGTTGTGCATCTGATAGGTTGGTTATCTCTTGGTCGCTTAAAAGTATTGGTTGTGGAGCTTTGATCTGTTCTGTTTGAGCCATCATATCTGGTCTGTTCACACCTGTTATGTAGTAAGGGGTGGAGCCTTAGATGTTCACCAGGACAGGGCAACCCGGGTGGTGGGTTGTGACACTGTATGTGGGGGTTGGGTCAGAGAGGGAGCAATGGCACTTGTTCCACTCTCTGTCAGATTTTTGTCTACTCTGCCACTTCCCACAAGGAAATTGGGCCTTTCTGGTGCTGGTCCCTGAATAGGTAGGCTTGTGTACATTCTAGGACCCTGTGGGTCTCTCCAGCGAACTCTCCTGTGAGGCTGGGAGCCTCTCTTGGTACCTCAACCCCGGCAAGTTTTTCTAATTGGTGCTTTTAGGATTTATTTCCCATCTCTGTGGTCCTGGGTTGCTAGGTCTGTGTCACTGTCCTTTTTTTCGCCTGGTGTATCTGTGTGCGAATGTGTTTCCATGGTCAGCCAACCTCCTTGTGCACCTCAATGGATTGAGTCTGCTTGTGTTTTCCCTGTGCCTGGGTCTGCTAACCACTGCCTCTTCCTGCCGGGACCTTTCTCTGCCAGGCTCTGACTCCGCCCCTCTTACCCTTCTGGATGAATGGTTTGTTGTTATTGGACTTGGGTACAGTTCAGTTTTCTGTCTGTTCTGGTTGTGTTTTTGTTTCTAAATCTTTGTTGTCCTTAAGTTTGGTTGTACAAGGAAGTGCAGTGTTTCCACCTATGCCTCCATCTTGGCCGGAAGTCTATGCTTTGCTTTTTCACTTAACTTTGAAACTTCATAGATTGTTCCATATTAGTATTTGTAAATAGAACTACCACATTCTTTTCAAAAGTTCCAGAATATTCCATTTTATGAGTGCCCATAATTTTTTAATTAGTTTTCTATTGATGGATATTTTACATTTTTCCTGTCTTAAGCCATTAGAAACAGTGTTGTAATGTCTATATACATATGACATTGGATACATATGGAATTTTAATTGTAGGATAAATTTCTAGAAGCGGAGTTGCTGTGTTAAAGGATATGTTCATTTAAAGTTTTGGCAGATGCCAGATTTCACCGGTTTATATTCCTGTGGCCGATACATAGGAGTGCATTGTTTCTCCACATACGCCTCACTGCTGGGTTAAACAAATTTTTGATTTTTTGCCCCCCTGGCCATGAAAGTGAAAAGTATCTCATTGCAGTTCATGAATGTAGACATCATTTCACAAGTTAAAGAGCTATTTGTTTTTTTCTTTTCACTATTTAGTCACGTCCTTTGCCCAATTTCCCATTTATTATTTCTTTAGGAAATCAGCCCTCTATCTGTGATCTCTGGCAAATATTCTTTTCTTAGTTTGTCCTTTGTAGATGAATTCAAATACATTTAACAGTTTTCTTAAGATCTTGAGCAGTGCTGTGTGTGGACAGGAAGAGGCAGCCCCTAGAACGATCCCTGAGGAGCAGACGTTTCTCTGCCTGCCACTAACAGGGCATGCTGTCTTCCCATGGACCGGAGAAGGCACAAAGCTGAGTTGTTCTGTGTGCAGCTGACCCAAGAGAAGGCATGAGCTGCCACTTCTTTGGGTCCAGGACCCACCTGCCCTGATGCATCTCCAGGCCATGTGGGCGGTTCCCTGCCCCGGAGAAGCCTCTATTCTCTGGGAGATTGGGTATGTCCTCATCATCCTGAGAACCCTACAGGAGGGCTTCCCAACCCACTGAGTCTTTTTAAAGATACATTTTTTAATGACAAAAAAAATCTCTTTGTAAAGAGAGCACCCCTCTGTCTGTTTTTCTCAGGGGGCCGAGAGCATAACCACGTACACGTTCAACACCCATAAGGCGCAGCACACCTTCTGTAAGAGGTGCGGTGTACAGAGCTTCTACACGCCCCGCTCCAACCCTGGTGGCTTTGGTGAGTGCAGGCATTGGCCACAGCCCAGGGACACACAATCGCCTGGGGTCGTCCTGGGTGGTTATGCTGCTGAGAAAGGTGGGCACTGGCACCCTTGGCTGGACACCCACTTGGCGAGGCTTTTCCACATGCATGTTTTGGTTGAACAGGGCTCTTTGGTGGAGCCTTTTTGAAACAATGGGATGTAGAACTGGCTGTGGTCATTCAGGTACCAGCCAGATCCTGATTCTCATTACTGGTGCTGTTGGTGCTGTGTGCCACCTGGCCAACATTGAGAGGTGGGGAGGAAGGGGGAGAAGATGGGCTGGTGGAAAGGGGGAGGGAATTTTAACAACAGCGGCTAAAGGGATAAAGGAAGCAAGAATGGGGAGCATTGATAATGCCATTAAAAATGTTTTGGCTGGTTCACAACACAAACAGGAGAACTCCCCACCACAAGTCTCTCTGCAAGTCCTACTTGGATCAGGAGGGAGAGAACAATCTTTAAACATTTGTTCAGAATGATGCCAATTGCAGGGAAAATTGAGTGGAAAGCAGCATTGAGAACACTCCTGAGGCATCTTAGACCCTGTATATAGCAACTTCCAGAGCTATGCTGGGACAGCTGTTGCATGACCTTCCTGTGACAGGAGGTCCCACATCACCCTTGTCCTTCTGGCCCATTTCTTTTGTAGCCCGTGTGTTTCTCATGTGTCACACAGAGACTCCTTTTCACCTCCCTTGAGGCTCAGGAAAAGCATTTGGAAAGTGCCAAGTCCTGTACTGATGTGAGGTATTTAAGGCTTAGAGAGTTAACTGTCTTAGCCCTGGAAAAGGCCTGTCAGTCCGAGATTTCTGTAGGCTGAGTCTTTCTACTATTCTGTGCTCTCAGCTTGGTGGTGACTGAAGTCCAGCCTTGGCCACCCCTTGGCTCAGGAAGCCTGCTCCCCAGCTGGGAGATGAGGATGATAAGCCCTGAGGCCGACACTGTAAACTCTAGTGTATCATTCAGAAAGCCTCCTGTGCAATATAGCGATGCTTGAAGGTGTGGGCTGTCCCAGAGCCATTACAGCACCTGGTCTCACACATCCTGGGGACCCCTTTCTCTGTGCCACTTCCCTCCAGGAATCGCTCCACACTGCCTGGATGAGGGCACCGTTCGGAGTGTGGTCATTGAGGAGTTCAACGGCAGTGAGTGGGAGAAGGCCATGAAGGAGCACAAGACCATCAAGAACATGTCCAAAGAGTGAGCTCCTGCTTCCTCCATTCCTGAAAAGGACGGTGATTGGGGAAGCAGTTTGCTGTCCCCTCTGCTCTCCATGGCGCCATGAACCTGGCTGACCCCGGCTGCGGCCGTGCCAAGCTCTGCCCCTTGCTCCAGCTACCAGTTTCTTTAGGCAGCTCTCTGTCCTTTGTCAGCTCAGATCTTGATGCAGGCTAGTTAACTCCTTTCTTTCCTTCCCCAACTTTTATGTGATCTTTTAGAAAAATAAATATTTTAATATTAAAGCAGTTACTGTGATCTATCATTTTCTTTGCACTTTGATTTTGCTTCTGAGGCCATTCAATCAATAGCAGATGTTTATTGAGTAAGGTGGCTCAGACAGATTGGAAGGGGAAGATAAGCCAGGTGGACAGTTATTGGGAGTGTAAGAATGTGGGTGACAATGAAGCCTTGTGAACTGTAAAGATACCACAAGCTCAAGGGCTTCAGAGGAAAGAGGAGGGAGTGGGTTGGTCACAGAAGACATGGGGAGTGGGGACGGTGTGATTTAAGTCTTAAAGTAAATCAGCTTCCAATTTTTTTTAAGTTGTGGTAAAATACATGTAACATAAAATGTACCATCTTTACCATTTTTAAGTGTACACGTTTTTAGTAGTAGTAAGTACATTCACACTGTTGCACAACCAATTTCCAGAACTCATCATCTTGTAAAATTTAACCCCTGTGCCCATTAAACAACAGATCTTGAGTGTATAATTTTAAAAGAGGCCAGGTTTAGGAAGGGGGAAGGAACTCTGAACAGGTAGGGGCACATGCTAATGTCAGGCTGAACTGCGTACTTGGGAAGAAGTAATAAAAGAGATTAGAAAATATGTTGAACCTGGACTGTGGACTGTCTTGGAGATTAGGCTCAGGAATTAGGCCTTTATTTTACAGATATGGAAAGCCCTGAACAGCTCTGAACAGAACAAAGAGAGCCTGGCCTGATACCTAGTCTTTCAGCTGCCTCCCCTCGCCCCTTGCTTGACATTTTGTTTGCCTATTACTATTGGAAGAACCTTTCCTAAAGTATTCCTTTCATTACCAAATCCTGAGTGTATATGTGGTGGCACATGCTTCATGAACGTTTGCTTTTTGCATGAGAAAATCAATGGAAATGATTTAGAGGTAGACTAGACAGGGGAAATAAGAGGGGAGGAGAAATTCAGTAATTCCCCTCTCCGTGGTTTGGCTTTCTGTGGTTTCAGTTACTGTGGTCAACTACAGTCCAAAAATATTAAATGGAAAGTTCCGCCTCCCTTCATCTCATCAGTGGGCACTATGTCATCTCGCATCACAAGAAGAAGGGTAGGTAGAGTGTGATAAGATAATTTTAGAAAGGACACATTTACATAAATTTGATTATATTGTTATTTTTCTGTTACTAGTTATTGTTAATCTCTTATTGTGCCTAATTTGTAAATTTAACTTTTTCATAGGTGTGTGTGTGTGTAGGAAAAAGCCCTGTATACAGGGTTTGGTACTGTCCTGATTTCAGGCAGCCACTGGAGTTTTGGCTTACTGCAGAAAGTGGGGAGATGGACTGGTGTTCCTGGTGGTCACCACTTCTTCTGTGTTATTGATAGTCTGTTGGCAGACTGCTAGATTCAGACTTTGAGGAGGAAGGAGCTGGTAACGATATAAGGGAAATGAGTATATTCTGATACAGTGAATGTACCCTCTGATATGCCCACCTTGCCAATTGCAATACTATGTAGAAATGGTAAAAACATAAATGACATCATATTTTATCTTTTGTTCTGCAACTTGCATTTTTGTTTAAAAACATCTTGATATTTCCATATCAATATATGTATTGTTATTAGCTGTTACTTAGGTTAATTTATTTTCATGTTAATTGGGGTTTCCAGTTTTTGCTTTATAGTGAGTGTTAACAATTAACATCTTTTTACTTCCTTCTTTATATACATGTGTATTCTTTGAGGATACAGAAGTGGAATTGAAGATATGCATATTTTAAATATTAAAAACACTGCTAAAACTTCCAGCCAAGATGGAGGCATAGGTAGACACACTGTGCCTCCTCACACAACCAAAATAAGGACAACAATTTAGAAACAAAAAACAACCAGTATTGACAGAAAATTAAACAGTATGGAAGTCCGACAACCAAGGAGTTAAAGTAGAAACATTCATCTAGACCAGTAGGAGGGGTGGAGTTGGGTGGCTGGCAGACCCAGTGAGGCAGCGGATTGTGGAGGAGTATGGTGCACAAGGTGGCTGGCAGGCCAGGCGGTCCCACATTCGTGTGCAGATAAACCAGGCAAAACTGGGAAGTGAGACAGATCTCACAACCCAGGATCCCAGTGCAGGGAAATAAGGCCTTAAAACACCGATTGGAAACACCTGTGGGGACTGAGATCCCGGGAGAAACTCCCAGCCTCAGAGAAGAGTTTGTTGGAGAGACCCACAGGGTCTTAGAACATACACAAACCCACCCACCAGGAATCAGCACCAAAAGGGCTAAATTTGCATGGGGGAAGTGACAAAAATCTGGTAGACAGCAGAGCAAGCACCATTGTTCCTTCTCAGACTCCTGCCCCACCTATAGCATCACAACCCAGCGACCTGTGTTACCCACCCTGGTGAACACCTAAGGCTCTGACAGGTGCATCAAGACAAAAAAAATGGTCCAAACAAAAGAACACATCAAAGCTCCAGAAAAAATACAACTAAGTAACGAACAGGTAGCCAACCTATCAGATGCACAGTTCAAAACACTGGTGATCAGGATGCTCACAGAATTAGTTGAATATGGTCGCAAAGTAGATGGAAAAATGAAGGCTACACTAAGTGAAATAAAAAGAAATGCACAGGGAACCAATAGTAATGGGAAGGAAACTGGGACTCCAATCAATGGAGTGGATCAGAAAGAAGAAAACAACCAAACATAAGAATGAAGAAACAAGACTTCAAAAAAATGAGGAGAGGCTTAGGAACCTCCAGGACATATTTAAATGTTCCAACACTGAATTATAGGGGCACCAGAAGGGAAAAAGGAAGAGCAACAAGTGGAAAACTTATTTGAACAAATAATAAAGGAGAACTTCCCCAATCTGGCCAAGGAAATAGACTTACAGGAAATCCAGGAAGCTCAGAGAGTCCCAAAGAAGATGAACCCAAGGAAGAACATACCAAGGCACATCATAATTACATTAGCCAAAATTAAAGATAAAGAGAGAATTCTAGCCCTAGCTAGTGTAGCTCAGTGTATTGACCACAGGCCTGTGAACCAAACAACCACGTTTCAATTTCCAGTCAGGGCACATGCCTGGGTTGTAAGCCGGTTCCCAGCAGGGGATGCACGAGAGGCAGCCACACATTAATATTTCTCTCTCTCCTTTCCTTTCCTTTCCCTCTAAAGATAAATAAAATCTTTTCTAAAAAACATAAAGAGAATTCTAGAAGCAGCAAGAGATAAGGAGGCAGTGACCTACAAAGGAGGTCCCATCAGACTGTCAGTTGATTTCTCACGAGACCTTACAGGCAAGAAGGGGCTGGAAAGAAGTATTCCAAGTCATGAGAGGCAAGGACCTACATCCAAGATTGCTCTCTCCAGCAAAGCTTTCATTTAGAATGGAAGGGTAGATAAAGTGCTTCTCAGATAAGGTCAAGTTTAAGGAGTTCATCATCACCAAGCCCTTATTATATGAAATGTTAAAGGAACTTATCTAAGAAAAAGAAGATAAAAAAACGTACAGTAAAATGACAGCAAACTCACAATTATTAACAAGCACACCTAAAACAAAAACAAACTAAGCAAACAACTAGAACAGGAACAGAACCACAGAAATGAAGATCACATGGAGGTTATCAACAGGGGAGTAGGAGGGGGAGAGAGGGGAAAAGGTACAGAGAATAAGTAGCATAGATGGTAGGTAGATAATAGACAGGGGGAGGGCAAGAATAGTATGGGAAATGTAGAAGCTAAAGAACTAAGTATGACACATGGACATGAACTAAAGGGGGGAATGTGGATGGTAGAGGGTGTGCAGGGTGGAAGGGAATGAAATGGGGGGAAATGGGACAACTGTAATAGCATAATCAATAAAATACATTAAAAAAATATAGTGCTAAGTTGCCCTTAGAGTGTATACCAGCTTCTAATATATCCATCAGTCCTGTTGGTGCCCTCATCAAAACGTGATGTTTTTAATCTTTTAAATTATGACCAAGCTGTTGGGTAAAACATTTAATTTTTTAAGTTTCCATTTTTCTGATTACCTGTGAGATTGAGCATCATTTTACATTTTGGGGCCATTTTTATTTCCTGTTCTGTCAGTTACTTAATCATGTCCTTTGCCAGTTTTTCTTTGGGGCTATTTTTCATCTACCAATTTAAAAATAGTAAAAAGAAAAAGTGTTTCAGCACTGGCTGATGTTGCTCAGTGGATTAAGCCTTGGCCTGTGAACCGAAATGTCACAGTTTGATTTCTGGTCATGGCACATGCCTGGGTTTTAGGCCACCAATTGATGTTTCTCTTACACATTGATGTTTCTCTATATCGCTTTCCTTCTCCTTTCCCCTCTCTCTAAGAATAAATAATATAAAATAAAAAAGTGTTTCAGATACTGTATTTTAAAATTTATTTTTGGAGCTCCTAGTGTTGCTGTTAATATATTTTATAAACATTCTGTTTCAAACTCAATTGTTCTACTTCTATTTATTAGAGTTTTAGATTTTGATGGGTTCAGATTTATCAGTCATCTTTTCCATTATGGTGTTCTGACTTATATATTTTCTGGTTTTCTTGTGGTTTATGCCTTGTTTGAGAATATTTTCCTTATGACGTGTATAAGCATGTTTGCCTATATTTTCTTTTGCAACTTTCATAGTTTTGTGTTTTTTTACATGTAGCCCTTTAATTTACCTATATTTCTTTCCAGGTAGTTTTTAATTTTTATTTTGGTCAGTAGGAGGAAGTAGGGGTTTATATCCCCACCCACAAAATAGAAAACAATTGCATCAACTTTTCTATTGACAAATCCAGCCCTTCCTTACAGGTTTCAAATGTAGTGTTTACTAAGTGGGGTTGTTTGTGGATTCTTCATTTGTTCTTTTAATCCATTTTTCTGTAGTTCCACAAATACCACTCTATTTTTAAATCCCTCAAGCTTTAGGCAAATCAGGGGACTTCGCCAAGATGGAGGCATAGGTGGAAACACTGTGCATCCTCGCACAACCAAGTTTAAAGACAGCAAAGTTTTAGTAACAAAAATGCAGCCA